AGACACCCCTAGATTTGCAGAAACGTTTAAAGGTACTATCAAGAGTTTCCATGTAGCCTATGCTCAGTTTCCTCTATTATTGATATATGTTAATATGGTACACTTGTTGCAATTAATGAATCACTATTGATGCATTATAGATTTCCTTAGTCTTTACGTGGTATCTTTTTGTTCCAGAATTCCCAATCCCATTTCATACCACATTGAATTTAGTTGTCATGTCTCCTCAGGGGTCCTTCTTGGTTGTGACAGTTTATTAGACTTTCATTTTGTGTTTTGTTTTTAAATAGTGATTTTTTTAAAAAGTTTATTTATTTTAAGACAGAGACAGCATCAGTGGGCAGAGAGAGAGGGAGAGAGAGAATGCCAATGTGGGGCTCAAACCCATGAAGCCACGAGCTTGTGAACTGAGCCGAAACCAAGAGTCAGATGCTGAGCCACCCAGGTGCCCAGACTTTGATTTTTGACCACCTTGGAAGCTTTGAGGAGCACTAGTTGGATGTTTTGTCAGATCTCTACAGGAATTTGATTTTTTTCTCATGATTAGAGTTGGCTTATAGTTTTTTGAGAGAAGAACACAGAGGCAAAGTATTATTTTTATCACATATCAAGAGTACGTACTATAAACATTACTTATTTCATTTGATTATTGATGTTGATTGATTTTGATGTTGAGCTTGATCACCTGGCTGAGATAGTGCTTGTGAAGATTCTCCTTGGTGAAGTTCCATACTGTACCCTTTGGGAGAAAGTCAGTGTGCATAGTGGGGGTTTATGCCTCCCTCCTTGAGGACAGAGTATCTACATAATTTTTTTTGGAACTCTGCCTGAGAGATTGGACTCTTTTTCATTTATTTATTCAATCATTTTACTTTTTCTGTAAGATTTTGAATTTTTGAGTTGAGACTTGTTTATTGGCTCAGCATGTATCTTGATGGATATTTTATATATACTTGGAAAGAGTATATACTCTGTAGTTGTTAGGTTTAGTGCCTTTGGATGTAAATTATATGAGGTTCATTAATAGTGTTGCTCAGATATTTCTATCCTTACTGATTTCTTTGCCTCTTTGTTACTCGCTAAGAGAATTGTGCCCCCTCCCCTCCTCCCTAAATTCATAAATTGAAGCCCTAGTCCCAAGTAATTCAGAATGTGACTGTATTTGGACATGGAGCCTTTTAAAAAGGTGATTAAGTTAAAATGAGGCCAACAGGGTGGGACCTAAGCCAGTCTGACTCGTGTCCTTAAATGAAGAGGACACAGAGACACTAAGGGTTGCCTGTGCATGGAGAGAGGACTGTGCGAAGACATGCAAGAAGACCACCATTTCTAAGCCAAAGTGAGAGGCCCAGCCAGACCTCCAGAACTCTGAGAAGAATAAATTTCTGTTGTTTAAAGCCACTCCAATCTGTGGTATTTTGTTAGTTTTGCCCTAGCAAACTAAAACAGCACCTTTCCATCCATCCTTTATAGACAACTTATAGTTGGGTATTTTTATTTAATCCAGTCTAACCATTCCTGCCTTTGGTTGTAGCATGTCATTGATATATCCTGTAATTACTGATATGAGTGGATTTAATCTCTCATTTTTCGTTGGTTCCATCTTATTTTTGTTCTATTCTTCTCTGCCTTTTGAAATTATTGAATACTTTTTAGTAATCACTTTTAATATGTCCATTGGCTTTTTACCAATACTTGTTTGCATTATTATTGTTGTGGTTATTTTAGGAATTACAGTATGCAATATTTGTAACTTACCCCATATAGGTTATACTGTATGGTGATTTCACATATAGTGTTATCCTGCAAACATTTGTTTTGTTTAATCTTCTCATCCAGTGTGATCATTTTGCCATATGTATCCACCTTCCTATATCATAAGCCCCACAGTACCACATTGTAATTTTTGCTTTAAGTAGTAAAGAAACCAAGGGAAAGAAGTATACCATATATACATATACATACATACATATATATATATATACACATACATACATACATATATATATATACATAGATATATATACTTCTAGCTGATTACCTATTTGTAAAGCCCTATTTCTGCAACAGTTGTCAAGATTTTATCTTTGTTTTTCAGCAGTCTGATACCTGAGTGTGGTTTTCTTTGTATTTATTTTGCTTGAGGTTTTCTAAGCTTCTTGTATTAGTACATTCATTTTTCACCAGTTTGGGGGAAATTTTCAGCTATTGTATCTTCAAATGTTTCTTCAAATATATATTCTTCAACTTTTTCTGCTACGGTCCTTCTGGGACTCCACTTACACATATTTTGGACAGTTTAATACTATCCCACAGATCACTATAACTCTGGACATTTTTTAAAACTTTTTTCTCTTGTTCAGATTGGATAATTTATATTAATTTTTTATATTAAATGGGTATTTATTCTTAGATCTCCAATCTGCTATGAAGCCCATTTAACACATTTTTCTCTTCAGTTATTATTCAATTCTGATATTTAAAAAAAAATTTAATTTTACTTATTTTGAGAGTACGAGCGGTTGAGAGAGAGAATTCCAAGCAGATTTCATGCTGTCAGCACAGAGCCCAATGCAGGGCTTGAACTCATGAACTGTGAGATCATGACCTGAGCCAAATCAAGAGTCGGATACTTAAGTGACCCAGCCACCCAGGCGCCCCTGAATTCTAGATTTTTAAAATTTCCTGAGATTCCTGATCTGTTTACTCCTTGATATACTTTCCTTGAAAGCCCTTAAACATATGTGTAATAGCTCTTTAAAGCTCTTGCCTACGAACTCCAAGATCTGGGGTGCTTTCTAGTGATTGCATTTCCTCTTGACTGTGGGCCATTTTTCCTTATTTCTCAAGGAGCACGGAGGAGACCATGCATGGAGTCTGGTTTATGTCATCTGCCTTTAAATGGCATCTCATTTGTTCAGGAAAACACTTAAATTAGCGGCAGACCATTGTGGCCTTGTCAGGCTTGGTGTAATTCTCTGTTACAGCAGGCCTATTTCATTCGGTTTTAAATTTAGTTTTAGGGTGTGTCCTTTTCTCTGGGGCTCACGCCTTCTAAGATGTGGCCTTTCTACGGCTCAGATGCCGATGCGCCCAGTGAGCCCCCGTGCCCTGGCCTAGTCGGATTTCTGATGTTTCTCAGCATTTTATGGCCTTTAGTATCACTCACTGCTCATCTCCCCGTTCTGTAGCAGGTGGTCTTTGTGTAGGGTCTTGCTGTATTTTCCTCTGCTTCAGGTATAGCCCCATCCGTGGCCAGAGACCTGCAGTGTATGCTCACGCAGACCCCTCTCTTGTGAGTGCGAGTACCACCCTGCCTGGGTTCTGTCTCCCTGTCACGTGTTCCCAGGACAGAAAGTGGGGATGATCACGGGACTTGTTTCTTTTTTCCCAAAGATCGGAGTCTCGTGCCACTCCATATGTGAAAACAATTGCCCCATGTTTTGTTTTATAGTTGTTTTGTCAGGACGGCACATCTGTCACCAGTTACCCTGTCATGGCTGAAAGTGGCAGCTACGTGGTTACAAGTGTTAAATTAGCTAAGATGTATGCAAGTTCTGTGTAAACAGTAGTATCTGTATAAATACGTGTGAGGGTTATGATGCTATCTTTATCCTGCAAGGATTTATAATTCTGTGGACAAGATAAAGATCGGGCTTTAAATACTGGGCATCCTGCCTGTTTGGATCTCTGAAGCTTCTAGCAGCCAGATTATATAATGTATCATAAAAGTGATAGGTACAGATTTCTTCACTTGCCTTCTCCTATCCTTACTCCACGAATTATGTTGCATTAAAAGCTTTAAATTTTCTTTTCCTTAGGGAGAAGGAACATGTGTCCATGTTTTCATGGACACAGAAAAGAACTCTTCCAAGCCTGTGGAGAGGAAATGTCCACAGGACATCTTTTCTCAACAGTGTTCAATTCTCCTTCTATAATGGAATGAAGGCCTGTTTATTACAAAATGGTTATTTTGGTTCCATTCTGTTGGGTTATCAGATTTTAAAGTCCTTCAGGCCAGAAATAAAACAGAGTCATTTAACCCTTCTGCCTTTTATTTCAGAAATACTATGGAGGCAATGTTAAAAAATAAAAATAAAAAGGAAGGAACTTGTAAAACAGTAATCTGCCTTTGACAAGTCTGTTTTCTGTGATGAAAGAAATAAGGCATTTGACCTCCAGCCCTGGATCTATCCTGATGCCTATCCATCACCCTTCTCTGCCGTATGGAGGGCTTTGGTACTCAGACTCTTGGATGCAATCAGAAGACAATCTGGTTTGTCAGAAGGTCATTTGAACACCAGTCAAAATAGTGAACACTGCACGAAGTTCTACATTAACTGTTACAAGGGAGAGGCTAAAGTCAGGCAGTGAAAAACTAACTGTAGTTTTGAGGTGATGTAAATTTGAATACAAATGTGTATTTGCATATAATTGTGATATAAATGTGTAATTGTTATCTTTGCTTTCTGTTTGCGTAGTTGGTCAGACAGAGATTAAGGAAGAAATTCTGGGGACACCAGTGGCAGAAAGAGAGGACATAGAGTCCACGTCTTGGCGTCCTGCTATGAAGTCTCACAGGGCGGGAACACTGTCTGTGTCAAGTACATAGTATCTAGTTCACTGGGATATTGATGTGGTTACATCTGTTGGTATTTTCCAAATGAAAAATTCTCTCCTTAAAGAAAACACTTTAGAGCTAGAGTGATCAGAAATTCCATATTGGTAGGAAATTTCCCTTTTTTTTTCCCAGTAATTCTGTCTGAATTAACCCAAACTGCTGAGTCCATTTATGAATGGCAAGGACTGAATATTTTAAAACTCCGATACTCTTTTTCAATTCAATATTACTCTCTCTGGATTTTCACAATGCTGCCCTCCTATAATCCCTTTCATTATCATATTCTGACATGCTTTTATTTAGTCATACAGAAAAGAAAAGCTAAGAGAAGCTGAAATAAATTTTATTTTTCTTTTAAACAGAAGAAAGAAGAAAGGTGGGGTTATACTTTTATAAATATAAATATCAAGCGATAGGCAAATTTTCCAAATAAATAAATAAATATCGCCACATGCTAAGGAACGTAGAAATTTGTGGGGACTGCCTCAGCTCCTGCCAAAGGAAAAAAATCCCTAATAAATGGTATTGGGTTTAGAAGATCACAACCAGTTTTCTACCAAAGTCCTTTTGGGATTTTACATCTAGTTGTCAGTATCGGGGAGCTTCCAATAGCTTTTATACAGTATAAGTTCTCCAACAGGAAATGAAAATTGAGACAATATTTGCCATGCACTGCTATATAGTAGTATGCATAGTTTTCGTGTTTCCGAATGGGTACTAGTCCTTCAAGTTCAGGTGAAAACAGTGATCCAATGTTTCATAATTAAAAGAACATCAGTTTCTAAGGCTGGGCGCATGATGGCAGTGGAAAAAAACAAAGTGGGAAGAAGCTGTAAGTCTGCTCTGCTTGTTAGCCTCCTGCTGGGTAGGTTGGGTAGAGCAGAGGTAGGAACATGGGGCCCCCTTGTAGAAAGACTCGGAGGCAGGTGGTAAGGCTGTGTAGGGGGAGGCTAAGTATCAGGCTGGTGCCTCAGCCGTCTGGCTAGTGAGGTTTGCTTTTCCTGGGTCTGAAAACTGTCTTCAGTCAACCCCCCCCTCCCCCACTCCCCCAGGATTTGCAAGTGGACACCAACCCAGTGTGGACTCCTCTGCCAGCCCAGGGGAGTTTTAGCTAAACTCTAGCCACTGCTGCAGAGCAGTGAGGCAACTATAGTGAAGAACTGGCAGCCTGGTCTTTGTGGAATTCCTACACATCGGTCCCCTGATTATTGGACTTCTTCCCCCTGAGCCCTTGATACCATTTCCCTTAGACATAAGGACACAGCCTACCAGTCCACAGAAAACCCAACCCCGAGCAGTCCCGTTGTCCCAAGGCCCCTTCCCTGTTAACACTTTTGTAAGTCATCCCAAATGCGGTACTACTCAGCTTGGAAGTAGGCTTCATCAAATGCCTCTTAGGGGAGTTTCCATTTATTTCCATTTAAAATACTGATTTTCACTTCCTAGCGGGGGAGATTTTCAGGAGCCTATGCCAAAGCAGGGCTGTATCATGGACCGCTTGGGAACAGGCAGGGCCCTCTGGCTCTGGCTGCACAGAGGGGGAAAGAACCCAGCAAGGGGTGCCCACCCCGTGGGGAGGTTGAATTTTCTAGTTTGATTTCTTGCCTCAGTTCTCCAAACATTCTAGTTCAGTTTTCACCAGCCTGTTATCAACCTTTTGACAGCTTTTTTCCAGAGACGCTCTAGGGAAGGGTGCAGGCCTGAGATGAGGATTGTTACCAGTTTGCCCAGGTCCGCTGTTAATGCCCTAGGTCAGCGTTGCAAACTCAAATGCCAACAGGGCCCGTGCAGGTAACGTGAATGTAGCACGAGCAGTGGAGAAGCTAGTGGTGCTGGCTCTTCCCTTCACCTTGGCAGCGGTGAGCTCACTAAGCCATTGCTTGGTTTGTAACGCTAGACGAAGAAGGGAGGCACAGGGGAGAGAAACTTCCGGGTGGGGTTGGGTCTGGTGGTGGGAATCCCTCTCTTCTTAATGAAGGCGAAACTTTTAGTTTATCTTTCTGGGCTTCTAAATTCAGAAAGGTGGCGTGGGTGGGGTGGGGAAGGCAGCGAAACCGCCACCACCCAGGCCTCAAAGGCGCATTCCCGAGGCCCTCCTGGTAGAAGGGGAATGAAACAGCCCCCCCGCACACCTCACCCCCGCCTTCCCCCCGGATCCAGTGCAGCTTTCAGGACAGCGCGGCCACGGATTCCCTTCCAGCCCCCCTAGACGAACCTGGGGAAGGGGCGGCACCTCTCCACGCCCATGCCCCCCGCGTGAGCGTTCACCCTGTTGCCCCTGAGCACCCCTAACGGGTCGCTGGCCACCACGCCGCTGTCCTCGGCGCTTGGGAGCTCCTGCGAGCAGGAAGCCGGCGCGGGGGTCATGCGGGGCCGGGGCTTCAGCACGTTCAGCGGGTCGCGCTCCGCGTCCTCGGCGCTGCGGGTGTGGCGCCTGGGCCGGGGGGTGTTGAAGTGGATGAGGGGGATCTCGTTCCTGCGCGACAGGAACTGGGAGTAGGGCGGCGGGTTGGTGCCCGGCAGGAAGGCCCTCTTGGCGGGGCCCAGGCTGACGAGGAAGCGGTGCTGCGGGGAGTGGTACACGTCGTAGCCGTTTTCCAGCGTCCGCTGTCGGAATCGGCAGCTCTCAGGGCTGAAGAGGTGCTGGAAGGGATGAGCAGAGGGGTGAGGCCCGGGCCCTGGGGGCTCGGTCCGGGGAGGCGTCTTGAACCCCTCGCCCTCCTGGAGGGAAGCCGAGGCCCTTGCCTGCTGGGCCTACACGGGGCCGCACGGTGGGGGGCTCGACTGGCCTCAGCCCCCAGCGCTTCGAGGCCCTGTTTCCGGAGGGAGGGCCAACTTCAGGCTCACCCCTGCCTTCTGCCTCTCCCTCTCAACCCTCTCTCTGCTGCAAGTTGGCTTGGGCCTGCGCCCTTACCTGGACGAAGGAGGTGGGGTTGGAGTTTATAGGGCCAAACATAAGGGAGGGCATTCCAAGATGATGTGAACTCTGGCCACACATGCCCTAGGTTTGAGACCTCGGCTCTGCCACTCACTTAGTACCGGCCTTCACTGAATGCCTGCTGGGGCGTTCATATAATATTTCACTGAATCCTCTAACTCCATGCAGTGTTTTGCATATGAAGACTACCTATATGCCTAAATGTGGTCAGCAGATATTTTAAGTCATGCCTCTATTTGTTCCACAGAGAGCTGTCGATTTCCAGCCAGAGAGTGTTGTAGGTGCTGGGACATAGCAGGGAACAGAACAGAAAGTCATTGCCATCAGGGTATATTTCTTGTGGGTCTGTCTGGTGGTTGAGGCTCTGGAGATGAGCAGTCCTATTACTGTCTGATCTCAAAACCCTTTGGAATATGCCTGTAACCTGTAGTTTGGGAAATCCTTTGCTCGCCGATCTGATCCACCAGCAACCACAGCTGCGGCAGACAGAGATCGTTCATGAGAGATCTTTAACTGGAGGGAGATCCCACTTCACTTTTTCCAGATGAGGAAACTGACATTCTAAGAAGAGAGGGTACCAGTCCAAGGTCAAGAAGGTCTAGTAAAAGAATGGGGAAGACACCAATGGCTTCTCACTGGGGGACCTACATACAAGGTGCGGTGAAGATACAAAAATGGGTGCTAACAGGCAGTCAGACTAGAGGCCAAGAGCCGGGCCTACAGAATCAGACCACCTGGGTTCAAACCCCAGTGTATAAACCTGAACATCTCCTACTTAGATTGACTACATCCCTTGGTGGAAACATCACCAAGCGCTGCAAATGGAATCATTAAGCTATAAAATTTTATGTTCTGGCGAAGAAATGAATTATCTCTAAATGGTGACCAGCACAAAAAGAAACTAACTGATCCAAAGATGTTGCCTCTGAAGTCCATACAGAGGTACCTCCGACTCATCACACCTGTTATCACCACAAAGCCAGCATCCTCCGATCTGATCATCAGGGCACCTGTGGAGAAAACCATCCAGGTCAAAACCTGGCCGCACATCCAATTCCTATCTCTGGGCACTTCCTGAAAACCCACCTCCATGAAACTTCCCTTGATTGATTTTTTTTAAAAATTTATTTTGAAAGAGAGAGCACGTATGCATGCGTGTGTGTGTGTGTGTGTGTGTGTGTGTGTGTGTGATGAGGAAGAGGAGAGAGAGAGGTGAGTGCAGAGCTCAGTGCACTCACGAACCAGGAGCTCATGGCCTGAGTCAAAACCAACAGCCAGATGCTCAACCAACTGAACCACCCAGGTGCCCCTTCCTTGATTGATTCTAAGGGCGGTGATTTCACTTCACTTTACTCCTCTTGTACTTACTTGTTCAGCTCCACTGCTTTGGATTCTCCCCTCCAAACTACCCCCTCCCTTGCCTCCTGCCACTATTTGCCTCCTACTTCCTCCTCTCGTCTGTACAGAGCACTCTGAGCTCCTGCCCTGGACACATGTTTCTCTCTCTGCCTGCACCGTCTTTATTTTCCCTGCTGCCTGGCTAATACCTCTTAATGTTAGTGGCGGTCATCACATTCCCCCAAGCCTTCTGGGCTTTTCCAATTTTTAAATCCATGCAGCGACGTCTTTCAAGGATCCAGCTTGCTTATAGAGCCTGGGCTCCACCCAGGTAAGTGTGCAATGCAATCGTCAGTGACACATCACCCAGCACCCATTATGTGTCAAGAACTGTATTAGAACTGATCTTTCCCTCCCTTCTCTGCTTATCGAAATCATTCATCCTTCAAGGACAGGCTCAGATGTCCCTTTCTATGAAGACTTTCCTAATCTCTGTATCAGAACTAATGCCCACACCTTTATTACCACATGCATTTCATTCACCTTGCCATAGCTATGTTTACTAAGTGCCTCCCCTTAAGCGAGCTCCTTAGGAGCAGAGAGTTTATCTTTATATGTCGAATAGATACCACAGGTGCATGTGATGTCTTCTTGGATCTTCATTGCGGTTCTGTGTCCTTGTCTTGCTTGGTGGTGTCCCCTCCAGTGCTGTCCCTCATGGTCTTTCCATGTCCCCGCTCAACAACCAGGCTCCAACAGGGATCTGACATCCACATATACTACTTATGCTTCAAATAACTGATGACAGCCTACCCTCATGGGGACTTGCAATTTTAACAATTTACAGTGCATTGTGGCAAGGACTGGTTAAATGCAGCCTAAAGCTTTCTGTTTTGTGGCAAGTGTGCAATTCAACAAGACTTCCACCCCATATGCTTTTTAATTACCTGACATTTTCTGCTTAGAAATCATTTCTTTAAGTCTTTGGAATCACTTGCATTTGCCTACCACAGAATTCCCATGTGTTTCTCCTTTGGCCTCACAGCCCCCAGGCAGGTGTTTGAGATTCTTTTCCAGAAATTTCCAGAAATTCTTTTCCAAAAATCTTTCCAGAGAGATTGTAAATGCCCAGCGCCTGTGCCCAGTAAGTGGCCGAGCCTCATGGGGTGACTTACACCTGTGTCTCCCCCTCTTACCCTGTGTTGGCTCAATACAGAGACCTCTGAGGAGAGTAGCAGACAATACTTAGATGCTAGCTGAGTATAGAGCCTCACGTGAACTGAAATTGGAATGATGTAGGACAGAGGGAATGAGGGCGGGAGCAAGCTCAGAAGGAAGAGAAAGTAAGAAGGCTGAGGAGAAATGTTGTTTCCAAGCTTGGCTAAGAGTTAATCTTGAGGGAAGTTTCTGGAAGTGGGGTGGAGTATGGGAGGTGCCAAGGATATTTAAATTGCTCCATAACAAGGTCTGCCTATGTGTCTCAAATATATGGCTAACTCTATGGCAAGCCCTGAGGGAAACAAAAGGAATGTGTAAAAAATAAGTTTTTGCCCTGACCCACTTTGGGAAAAAAAGTATACTTAGTGCTGTGCTTTTTAGGTACTCTACATATTTGAAATTCTCAAAACAACTGTAATGTTGTTAATATTATTAGCATTAACATGGATCATAGCAGCATCCCAATTTATGTGAAAAGGGAACTAAGGCAAGATTCGAATGCAGGATGGTGACTCTAACATCCCCTTCCCACGACCCTGCAGCTCCAACAGGAATCATCACAAGCCTGAGAAGACAAAATCAAGTGGCAGACACATGCTGTGACCCATGGGAACCTCAAGTCATGCCGTGCCCGAGTAGGGCAGGGCAGGGGTGCTGACCAGGAACTGGGGTACCTGGATTCTGGTCCCACCAATGCTACTTGCTGACTTTGTAGCCTTGGGCAGATCATTGCTTTAGCCTTGGGTTGCTCAGCTGTGTAAAGAGAATAATAGTAGCGGTCCTGCCTACATTATGGGGCAGATTAGATACAAACGCAAACATGGTTGGAAAAGTGACTTTCTTCAGAAAGTGTTGGGAAATGGCAGGCATTACGTGGCATGTGCTGGCCTGCCGTTTACAGCACGCGACAGCTCTGGCAGCCGTGTGGGCCTCATGCTGGGGGCCGTGGGGGCAGCGTGCATGCCGCCTGTGCTCCTGAGCTCCAGGGCTGGTCCTAGGAGAAAACAGCCTGCAGGGGAACAGAGAGAAGCTGCCACAAAGGATGCACAGACTTGAATCAAACCAACATGAGCCAATGAGAAAGTGCAGAAAATGTCAGAGACTGATCGCCTTCCCTTTGCTCGTTCAGAAGGCAGGTTTTCACAGGCTGCTCAGATTCTAGAGCAGAATTTGGCAGAAGGAAGGCGCAAATCACTGGCTGCTGGAACCACAACCTGTTGCAGCCAGATGGGCTCAATGGACCCTGGAAGAAACATGGGGTTGGGGTCAAGGTGTCCTCAAGGTGACCCTGAGCCAGTGTAGTTCTTTAACCTTAGTTTTTCATATGTAGGGAATTCATTTACCTCGTTTGGTCATCTTGAGGATGTCATGAGATAATATTCTTATCCACAATAAGAACACTTTCTAAATGCTAGTAATTTTACTTTTGCCACATGCCTCCACTCTGCACTACAAGTAGAAAATTATCTGCTCTATTCTATTCTCATAGCCAGTAAATGATAAATGAGATGACAGATGTAAAGTGCTTTGAGATCCCCAAAAGGAAGAGAATAGTTTGCAAGATTAAAGAGACAGGATAATTCAGCTTTGGGTAAAGAAAAGTGCCAGAGGGAAAAATGGAAGAAGGAAACATGCCAGGATCCCCGGAGTGATATTAACCAGAGCACTGAGCATCTCCTTTGCTGTTTCTACAAAGTAAGGTTGGTGAGGAGTAAGAAGGTAGCCCACTTCTTAGTGGGACAGAAGACACAGAGGTCAGAGAGGCCTCCTGACAGCAGTGCTAGGAATCCCAAGGGAGGTTACAGAATCTTGTAGGGCAGATAATTTCACGACGACCACCAGCTCAAAGATGGGTTGGGCACCCGACTATTAATCAAGAATTTACTAAAGCACAATAATCAAATGAACCAGATTTCACCAGAAATATGTAATAATTAGGAGGGGGGGAAACACCACACACCTTCCAGCAGGATGAAAGCAAATCCTTCACCAGTCTGTGAATTACCTGTGCTATTCATCTACATGCCTCAGTGTTTCCTCTTAACTATTTAAGTTACTTTTGACCTTAGTATTTACATTTATTTTGATAATACACACAGTAACTGATTTGAATAGTACAGAGGGTTATATAAACTGGGAAAAGTAAGTCTCCCTCCCACCACTCTGACCCACCACCCCACACAGATTTGTGTCAGTTTCTAGAGACACGTGCCTGGCCACCATCTACATCTGGCAAAACAAGACCCATTTCTGTTTTTTTTTTAATCTGAAATCAGTTCCATTTATTTTGCTTCTTCCACGTCATTTTAATTCACTCCCAGCTAGTATCAGTGCCTTCTCCGGCCCTGATGTAGGTAGATATTTGAGGGATAAATTCTACAACTCAGGCTGCCTGCTTCATAATGTAGGCTGAGTGCCACGCGCTGTACTGCACACGGCTCACTACAACCAGTGAACACTGTCTACTCCATGTCATGCTCCAAAGAACATGTCTTTGGGATTCCCTTTGGTGAAAGGTTCTGTTAAGTATCCGTTGAAAAAAATGAGCAACACTTTGGATGCATCAAGTATATCCAGATTTCGTTCAGATTTCTGACATCATTGGACTCAAACGTGGCTTCCCAAATGTCGACTCCTGAGTCCTACAATATCCCCTTGAGTTCTGCTATTGGAGAGAACTTTGCTATTTGGAGAGAACTTTGGTCCCTCCTCTCATCTCCACTGAGCACCTGAAGAGCTGTGCCTGGCTGCCTTTGCTTGCTACAGCTTTCAGGGCCTTTGATTCCACAAAGCAAGACCACAGCAAAATTATCCATGAATTCATTACAATAATAGGGCAAATCATTATTCCTATAAGAAGTTTCCTTTCATTGAACAGAGACAGTGATACTCTGTACTGCATCTGCTTGCATTCTCTTGTATCCTGAGCATAGTTTTCCCACATTCTCCTAAAATAGAAGACCTTGTCGTTTTCAATATGCATCCCCCCTCCCACACCGCTGTCCCCTATATAGGTGCATGCAAAGGGACCCTCATTGGAATCATAGCCAATTGATCAATTGTTTGTGGACTGTGATCCAGTTTGTCACAAACCTAGTCTTTAAAATCATCCAGTAGCCTCACTGTAGCCTCATGTTGCCAAGGAGTTCCAAAGTAGCTCAATTTGCTACTGAGTGGAACTTTCAGCTCCAAAGAAAGGAGTCACCAACTGACACCAAACTGGGTAACTGCAAAGCCCCTAGTAAATATGATGGGGAGATGGATGCATGGGTGCCTGGATACGTGGATTGTTCATGCACTTGGTCAGACCCATCAAGGCAATATACCTGACAGTCTGTCTTTAATACATTTTTTCCTAAGAAGTTTTATAAGACCAGAATATTAGAAGCTCAGAGTTGGAAAGAACCCCTGAGTTCATCTATTTTAATCCTCGGTCTGATACAGGAATCTTCTTGACAACTTCTGTTAGCCCTGTCCAAAATTTATGAGCTAAACTCAGTGTCAATGACCTGTCTGGCTTTTCCCCCCTCTACTTTGTTGCCTTTCTGTACATTCTATTCTGTACATTCTGTACATTTTTGGACTCTTTGGGTAGGACAAAGCAAGAGTAGCTTTGAAGAGGGATTGTAGTTAAGACAAATTATTCATGGGCACCTAGGTACCTCAGTTGGTTAAGCATCTGACTTTGGCTCAGGTCATGATCTCATGTTGTGAGTTCGAGTCCCACTTTGGGTGAGGATGTGCCCCATTTCTCTCTCTTCCCTTCTCTCTCTCTCTCTCTCCTTTTTGGGATTTTCTCCCATCCCCCAGCCCTGCCTCTTGCTCACTTGCACTTTCTCTCTCTCTCTCTCTCAAAAAAAAAAAAGACAAATTATTCATGTTGGAAGAAACAAACACTAATTGGGGAGGTAACAAAATCATCTCTGCAGGTTTAAACACACACACACACACACACACACATAAATAGGTTCGAGGCAAGAAGCTTGAATGTATATTTAAACACACACACACACACACAAATAAATAGATAAAAGGCAAGAAGATCGAATGTGTGTTTAAACACACACACACACACACACACACACACAAATAAATAGATTCGAGGCAAGAAGCTAGGAGGCTGGATTAGCCCTCTGGTCTTGCCCAAGACTCCACAGGCCCTTTGGGGGGGGGGTGGACAGAGGAACTCCCCCTTTTCCCAGCACAGGTGAAGCCCCTACTCACTGTAGATGGTCTGATGGGGTGTGCCATCCACGTGGCCGTCCTTGTGGATCTGCAGGTGGTAGCTGTTCCTGGCTGTGGCCGTGTACAGGTGGGTCAGGCCACCCCAGCTGGAGCCCAGCAGTGGGGAGGTGTTAGGATAGCCTCTGACTACCCAGCACAGGACAGAGACCAGGAGCCCAAGGCGGGTCCCTGACATTGCGGAGCTCTGAGTGGCTGGCTGGAGTTTGAAACCTGACACTGCCTCCCTGACTCCCTGGCCTTTTTCTCCTCTCCTTTGTGGGTATCTGGCCTCAGGATCCTAGGCTGGATTCCCTCCTTTTTTCCCTCGGACTTTTAAAGGGTAGCTGTGTGACATCAAACAGGAAAAACTCCACTGTCCACATCCTCTGTGTTGTAACCAGCCCATTGGAAGAGAAGGCAGAGACCTTGGAGGCTCACGGAAGGCACGTTGTTCCAGACACACACACACCCCTCAATTTCAAGCCAACGCTCCAAGAAGTGAATGATGTGTGGGCAAAAGTTATCTACGACTCTGGGTTGTCTGTTGACCTGCCCCACTTCCACCAGGAAATGTGAAGGCAGTCAGCGGTTCCGAAAAAAATTCAGCTTCAGTTATGCAGTCAACAGACTCCTATGCAATTAATCTCCCATTGAGTCTACTCATTTTGGTTTTCTCCATCCTTTTAATTCCAATCAGCAGCTATGTATCCAGGGCTTTCACTGTGCACAGCACCAGGTGGGTGTTTTGAAGGTACAGAAATAATACAGGACACCAGTAGGCTGAGGGAACCCTCTGAGACCCCTCCTCATGAAGGTACAAGAGCTGGAAACAGAGATGCAAAACCCAAAGTTGCCACCTTGGGAAGATTTAAAAATAGGAAGAAAGGAAACCAGGCCTTGGGGTCACCAGTGCTTTATGAAATTCTGAGGTTTGATTTCTCAGTTTTCCTGGTTTGGACCACCTAAGGGCAACTAAACTGGTATTATGTTCCCTCCAACAGCACAGAGACTAATTCAGAGACTTCATGAAGCTGGGAAGACTGGAGCTGAGCACAGGGGATCAGAACCCAGAAAGATCCCAGGAGCAGAATGGCTAGGATGTCCTTGCAGTTAATGTCTCCTGGGTTCCCGGATCCCGGACACCAGACACTTCCCTGCAGACCCTGCTCACAGGGGTGCCCTCTGGGAAGCTACATTTGATGTGGGGTGATGGTGACAGCACTTCAGTCCAATGGGGAGCAAGCCTCTGGAACGCATACCAGAAAAATAAACCCACAAGGAGGCTGCTCCTCTTCCATCTTCAATTTACTGAATGCATACAGGCGTTAGGCTGGACATCATGGTTGATAGATGAGAGAGCGAGGTATGATCTCTGCCTCAGGGAGTTCACAAGCTAATGGAGGAGGCAGAAACAAGAAGTGATTATCATACAAAACATAATGGGATGTACAATCATACAGGTGCAGGCAAAAGAGATGCCATTTGTTAACCTACATTTGTTAAGTTTTGATAGTTTATAAAGCATTTTGACATGCCTTAGCTCATTTTTTTTAAATGTTTTATTTATTTCTAGGAGAGAGAGAGAGAGACAGCGTGAGCAGGGGAGGGTCAGAGAGAGAGGGAGTCACAGACTGAAACAGGCTCCAGGCTCTGAGCCGGCAGTCAGCACAGAGCCCGACGTGGGGCTTGAACCCACGAACCGCGAGATCATGACCTAAGCGAAAGTCGGACACTTAACCGACTAAGCCACCCAGGCGCCCCGACATGCCTTAGCTCATGTGAATCTCACTGCGACCCTGTGAGATAGTCACAGCAGGCATTATCAATATTTTGATTGTATAGATGGAGAAATGGCAATCATGGGTTCATACATCCAAAGTCACAACAAAGCAGGTAAGCAGACTGGGTGGCTCAGTCTGTTGAGCATCCGAGTTTGGCTCAGGTCATGATCTTGTGGTCCATGACTTTGAGCCCTGCTTTGGACTCTGTGCTGACAGCTCAGAGCCTGGAGCCTGCTTCGGATTCTGTGTCTCCTTCTCTCTCTGCCCTTCCCCTGCTCATGCTCTCTCTCCCTCTCCCTCTCTCTCTCAAAAATAAATAAACATTAAAAAAATTAAAGTCACAAAGCAGATAAATGGGAGAGCTAGGTCAAGGTCATGTGTTTCCCTAGGCTTTTTCTCCAGGGACAACCAACACATCTTGAGAGCTTACTAAGGGCTTTACTTGTAGCAACTCATTCTGTCTTCATAATAACCCTTTGAGGAGATGCTGTTACCTCCTTTACACACATGAGGAAACTCATGCATGTGGTTTGAGTAATGTGCATAAGATGTACAGCCAATATGTGGAAGCTGTTAGATTTGAATCTGGTTAAGTCTGACCCCAGACCTCCTAAGGACTTTGCTAGATGTACAACACATACAACATATTAGAGCAAAGGTGACTGGGAGCCAGGAGTTGGGTAAGAAAATGCAAGTAGCAATTTCTCTAGTAAATACAGGCCTTTACCCAGGATGTGTCTCTAGGATACCAATCAGAGGGTGCTATCTCCCCAGGTTAGGTAGATGATCTAGGCCATATAAGACAGTCTTCTTTAATAATGGTGACAGAATGATTCATAAATATTGTACTAAATCTTTTTTTTAATTTTTTTTTACAAATAGTTTATTGTCAGGGGCGCCTGGGTGGCTTAGTCGGTTAAGCATCCGACTTTCGCTTAGGTCATGATCTCGCGGTTTGTGGGTTCGAGCCCCGCGTCGGGCTCTGTGCTGACTGCCAGCTCAGAGCCTGGAGCCTGTTTCAGTCTGTCACTCCCTCTCTCTCTCTGACCCTCCCCTGCTCACGCTGTCTCTCTCTCTCCTAGAAATAAATAAAACATTAAAAAAAATTAAAAAAAAAAAAACAAATAGTTTATTGTCAAATTAGTTTCCACAGAACACCCAGTGCTCATCCCCACAAGTGTCCTCCTCCATGCCCATCCCCACCCCCACATCCATCAGTCCTCAGTTTGTTTCTCAGCATTCAAGAGTCTCTCATGGTTTGCCTCTCTCCCTTTCCCCCACCATTTCCCCCCTTCTTCTCCCCCATGGTCCTCTGTTAGGTTCCTCCTAATCCTCCTATACGTGCAAACATATGATATTTGTCCTTCTCTGCCTGACTTATTTCGCTAAGCATAACACCCTCAAGGTCCATCCAAGTTGCTACACATGGCCAGATTTCATTCTTTCTCATTGCCATGTAGTATTCCATGGTATAGATAAACCACATCTTCTTGATCCATTCGTCCGTTGATGGACACTTAGGCTCTTTCCATGTTTTAGCTATTGTTGAGAGTGCTGCTATGAACATTGGGGTACACGTGCTCCTATGCATCAGCACTCCTGTATCCCTTGGGTAAATTCCTAGCAGTGTTATTGCTGGGTCATAGGGGAGTTTTATTGTTATTTTCCTGAGGAACCTCCACACTGTTTTCCAGAGGGGCTGAACCAGTTTACATTCCCACCAACAGTGTAGGAGGGTGACCATTTCTCCACATCCTCGCCAGCATCTAGAGTTCTCTGATTTGCTCATTTTAGCCACTCTGACTGGCATGAGGTGGTATCTCAGTGTGGTTTTGATTTGTATTTCCCTATGAGGAGGGATGCTGAGCATCGTTTCATGTGTCTGTTGGCCATCTGGATGTCAATATTGTATCAAATCTTAGTGAATTGAAGAAATAGTAAGCTTTCAGAATTGAAATACAGATCACTCAGGAATGTTTGCTAATTGATAACCCCGTATTTCCTTTCCTGGTTGCAAGAGGTAGAGAATGGAAGTACCTGTGAAACAATCAGCAGGTACTGAGAACCTTCTCTGTGCAAGAGAGAAGGAAGGAAGGAGTTCCAGGAAGACAAAACAGAACAAACGTCCTCAAAGGACTTACAATATAACTGAGTAGAGGAAAACCTTGCTCAGTACAAAGCACTGTCGGAGAAGAGCTAAATTACCAGGATGTGAATGAAATGCTAATGACATTCATCAAAGGGTGAGAGCACAGTGGGTGGACGCTGTGGTCAAGGATGGCTTTGAGGGAAGTGAAACTTGAGGGGATGATAGGATGACAGGGAAGGGGCGCTTGCCAGCACCAGCCAGAGCACGGTGGGAAGGCAATGCAGGTGTCTCAGGAAGAGTACACGGTTATTCACTCCGTTCCTGCAGCGCTCAGAGGCTGCACCTCCCTGGTTGTTTCAGCTTGTCTTATTCGGAAAGAGAATTGATGGGACAACTTAATCCATTTCCAGACTTCCCTCCAAGAAGAAACCTTGAACACCTGAACTGGATCTGAAGGGAAAAGACGGCCCATGATGGTAAGTTGACTTCTGAGGGGAATGGGGGCGGGGTGCAGAAAGAAGAAGCATTCCCCACTTGGCAAAAGCAAAGGAGGGTAGAAGAATCTCAGAATAATCTTTTCCATTGAGTTAATGGAAATATTGAGAGTGGAGGAGAGGATTTGCCCATCAGTGTGCACACATGGCAGCTTCTGGCTGAATTCCCTACCAGTGTTGTTTCAAACCTGCCTGCCCATTAGAATCACTGTAACTACCCCAGCACTAGACCTACTGAATGTGCAGCCCAACTATTGCACTTTTTCCCAAAGCTACCTGGAAGGTCCTAACACTCTCCTTGATGTTAATGACATTGAAGGACTTTTCAAGAAACAAGAGGTTGTCAAGAAGATTCCTGTATCAGACCGAGGATTAAAATAGATGAACTCAGGGGTTCTTTCCAACTCTGAGCTTCTAATATTCTGGCCTTATAAAACTTCTTAGGAAAAAATGTATTAAAGACAGACTGTCAGGTATATTGCCTTGATGGGTCTGACCAAGTGCATGAACAATCCACGAATCCAGGCACCCATGCATCCAACACCCCAACATATTTACTAGGGGCTTTGCAGATACCCAGTTTGGTGTCAGTTGGTGACTCCTGTCTATGGAGCCGAAAGCTCCACTCAGTAGCAAATTGAGCTACTTTGGAACTCCTTGGCAACATGAGGCTACAGTGAGACTACTGGATGATTTTAAAGACTAGGTTTGTGACAAACTGGATCACAGTCCACAAACAATTGATCAATTGGCTATGATTCCAATGAGGGTCCCTTTGCATGCACCTATATAGGGGACAGCGGTGTGGGAGGGGGGATGCATATTGAAAACGACAAGGTCTTCTATTTTAGGAGAATGTGGGAAAACTATGCTCAGGATACAAGAGAATGCAAGCAGATGCAGTACAGAGTAATCACTGTCTC